GGAAGTTAAGCATTTGCTTTTGAGCATGGATACAGCTTGTTTGCGAGCCTGCTAGATATCCTGTATCAGGGGTGAGGAAGTCCTGTGATCCTTTAGCCAGGGTGATACTAAAAATTAAATGTCAGTGCAGGTATTCTAATCCTGCGAGGTTTTGTCTAGAATTTCAGTCCGGGCACTGGTTTCTCAAGGTCTCTTTTTTGTGTCCTTTTGGAAATAACTAATTTCAGTTTTCCAGTATCCTTCCAGTAAAGCGTTCTTGCTGCAGACTTTGTTGCGCAGCGTGTGTGGCAATTTCTGAACGGAGCAGGGCTGTGCACTGACGAGCGTGACAGTAATAGCCGTCCTTCAGTGGTGCGACTTGCGGGATCTTACGCTGAGACTAATTTTGGTTTCCTTTTCCTCTCTGCATAGTTCTGCCTTCCTTGTCTCCAGCAGCTGTCTCAGGCTGTGATATTTACCAAGACAGTTCAAGTCACCCGGCCTCTTGTTGAATCTGTTCCCTTAATCCCCATGGTGTATCCCCGTTAACTCACGTATGCAGCGTAACGGCAGTGAACACCTTAGAGCTCACCGTAGTCCGTTCTTCTTCTGCAGGTATTTTTTTCCTCCCAATTTTGAGCATGAATGTAAAAATGTGGTATCAAATCATGTTAATACACTGTGCTAGAGTAGTGCTGGAGTGCTCACCTGTGGCTGTAGGTGCTACAGTGATCCCCTGGTTGCAGCTCCTTCCGTTCGCCTGCAGCCTTTCGCTCACTGTGTCTTAGAGGAAACGTGTCCCTTACCCCTTGCTGAATATTTGCGTTCGCCAAAGTCTGGTGCCAAAGCCTGGTGTTGCTGCTCCGTTCGTGCACTGCCATGTCTAGTGAATTCGGAGCCTGTGGGTCATTCCTCGCTCGGAGCTGGAGGGAAACTTAGGGTCAGCAGGGAATGTCTTTAAGCTGATGTCGCAGCTCTTCTTCTGGCATTCGTGCAGCCTCTGCTGACCTTGCCCTCACCTCCCCCAGCCCCTCGCCTTGGAGTAGTGGTGCCAAGGGTTTTTTTTTAGGAATACAAGAAAGGCAATGTGCTGTTGTCACATGGGAATTTATTTTTTTTGATGCATACATTGAAAGTACCTTTTTGGCCATAGAGATCACTCCAGCAGTGAATTTACACTGCCCGTGTTTACGTTAGGCCACTGTGGTGCCTCGGCCAGCCCTGCTGCCAGGTGGGCAAGGGGAGATGCTGGCCAGTGCCAGGGCAGGGTCCTGTGCTGCTCTGCGTCCTCAGGAATAAAAGAAGTTGCCTGCAGAGACAGGCGGAGGAGTGGGAACACCCAGGGCTGGCTGGAAATTGTGGGATAGGAGTGGCAGCGTGCTTTAGGTAAGGGAGATGCCCTTAAGTGTTTACCAGAGAGCCCAGGTTGAGAAGTTACTGAAGCTGGTGTGTAAGGGCTTGGCTGAATGGAGTCTGGAGTGTCTCTGTGAAGTAAAGAGCTATTGTTAGGGCAAAGCAACGAGAGCTAAAATGGTGTAAAGTGGGAAAAAAAAACAACCTGCACAGAAGTACCAACTTAGTACAGATGTGAATGAGCTTATTATTTTGTTTTAAATATTGTCCAGCCGTGAAGAAAACTGTTCCATCAACTGAAAAAGGCCAGGAGAGTATTCATGTTCTTCAGTACACAGTTTTGAGACACTTAAGCAGATGCTCTCCAGAAGTCCTTTCAGGGTCTGTTTGACATGTGGCAATACCCGAGCAGAGCCGTGAGAGCGTTAGAAACAGCTGGGCCCCGGCAGCAAGTGTGTGGCACGTCAGGTATTTCAGGCCTCACAGTCATTTCAGCTTCTGCTTTCATCTTATGAAATATTTTTAGCTGCGATCAGCTGGTAATGATGTGCGAGGGTTTTTTTCCCTTGTTCTAATGAATCCTTTCCAAACAAAAGCATTGGGCAGGGGAGCGGCTCTGACAGGTACCAAACTGCAGTGACAGCGGCGGGCTGCCCTTGCAGAGCAGCACGTCCTCGGTTCCCAGCCCCTGGCTGAGGCGGTTTCCCCACTTCACCACCGTCTCGTCTCCTCTTCCAGCCAGGGCACCGCAGCAGAGCTGGCTTGGAGCCCCGGACGAGTCCTGAGCCCAGCGTCCAGCTCCGCACCCGCCTGCTCCTGGGAGAGGTAGCGGCACTAAAGCAAACCAGTAGCAGGGGCTGCTCTAAAGGGTTTTTTTTTCTATAGCCTTTGCCTTCAGCGGCTTTTTACAGGCGTTTGCAAGAGGAAAGGTATTTGCTTTGCTAAAAAAAAAAAAAAGAGGGGGTTTGGGTGGCTGACACATGCTTTTTTTTTTAAATTTATTTGATTTTATTTAAAGAGGAAACGTAAGGCAAGAACAGGCAATTTGCTGACTGCTTGCACGGCTGAGACTGGCAGTAGGTGTGAGGTAGCAAAAGACATTTGAGAGCAGCTGCCGTTTCTTCGCTGTCTTGGTAACTTTATAAAAACCTATTGCCTTAACTGTCTTCTTTAGGCTCCCTCTTATTTAACATTCTGAATGTGTAAAGGGTTGTCGTACATATGATTCTCTTTTAGAGGGTTGGATCGTGTAAGAAACTTTCTTAAAAGCTGTTTAAGAGGTGATTTTGATACCTGCTCCATAGTGACTCTTTGCGATTGTTTCAAGGTAAGAGGTTTTACCTCCTGGAACTATTTAAATCCCTGGCTATAACTGATGTTTTCAGCCTAAACTTAAAAAAAAATCTGGAGCTGTTATTTTAAAATTTGTGTTCCTGGCACTGTAACTGAAGAAAAGTAGCAAGCGTAAAAATAACCTCAAGTGACTGCTATTTTTATAAGAGGTGTGAACACTGTAGGAGTGTTCTTCTTACGAAGAAAGGAAGCGGGGGGAAAAAAGTGTTGTAGCTGATGTGAGGCTCTTAAAATTAATAATTTTTACCTGACTACTAGGAGACCTGGCTTTAGGCATCTTTAAAGAGAAAGCCAAATTTTCACAGCTTCTTTTCTGTTTTAATAATTCTTCTGTTTTGAACGTAACACACACCCCTTCCTCCAGGATAAGTTCTGGGGTTTGGTTGTTTGTTTTTTCCCCTGGAGGCTGCTGTTGACTTGGGACTATTCTCCTAGATGCTGGGCAGATCTGTTTCTAACTTATTATTACTGTTCTTTCTATCTAAACCAGTTAAAGGCAACAGAGGAAATGATTCTTTGCTGTGTGCTTTTGTTCTGTATCGTTACCTAGTTCAAGCATAACTCTAGAAAGCAGACCCTAAAGTTGTCCATCCTCATGGTGCAATAGGGCTTCATGGACAACCCGTGTATTCGCAGCAGCCTGTTGTCTCGTACTCAACTTACGGGAGTTCAGTGGTTCTTCTTGGGTTTTGTTAAGGCGTCTTTCACCTTCCAGATAAACACTAAGCATCCTGTATCAATTACCTTTTAAGTGTTGCCTTCTGTTACGCTACTGTAAGCATGGGTTTATGTTTGTCTTCAGCAGGTCTGTGCTATGCCTAGTGCTATGAGCGTGATTGAAACTCTCTTGAACACAAACAGTGTTTTTTATTATAGACGCCCCCCGGTTGGACCGCGGCGCTTGCTTACCGGTGTTAACGTCACTCTGTTGTACCAAAGTACCCGTGGCTTCAAAACATAACCGTCAACTGATTCACTGGTGACTGGGTTTGTGTAATACAGCTGAGGAATGTATCCTGTGACTCAGTTTCTGCACTGTTATTTTCAGAATAAAAGTACATTTTTAAATCCGGTGTCTCAGCTGTTTTGGGGGGAAGCCGAGGCTTCTCCCTCAGAGTTACAGCCTAGTTAAGCAGCGCTAGCAACCTGTCAGCTTAGGAAAACAAGTAGAGGGCCGGAGAAGGAGAGGCAGGGCTTTTCAGGCTGGCCGAGGGTCGCCCAGGGCACGTTTGCAAACCTGGCCGCAGGTCGGCACCCAGCCTGCCCCGCAGCAGGTCAGCAATGGCACCCCGACTTCTCACTGAGCTCTGTCCCGAGAGAGAGGGATGGGAAAGGATGGAACAACAGCTCCTCGCTCCCGCTTGACAGGGAAATGGTACAATTTACAGAGCTCACCCTCTTAAATGGTGACTGGGTAAGTACAACCCGGCAGGCTGCCTGCTCCCGCGGTGCTGAGCGGGTGCCAGGCTTTTATTTGCACCTTAACCAAGTCGATCCCAGAGTGACACCAGGTATGGATAATGTATCTAAGGTAAGAAGAGGAATAAACTGCAACTTAATACCTTTAAGCCTTATTTAAAGATTCAATACCTTTATTTTTTTTTTTTTTTCCCAAATGCTGCTCTGTCTGCATGTTGGGGATGAGAAGACAGACCAGGAACACGGCCATTCTCGGATCCCCTCTGTCCCGTGGTGCAGAGATAAACGTGAGTGTGCAAAGCAAGAGCCGGGTTAACCCAGAAGGGGATCTGTTCGCTCGTTGCCTGAGGACACCGTGACATTGTGCTGCTGCTGCACCTAGAACGTGCCGTGCCCGCGGAGAGCTGAGCCCCCCTGGAAGGGCAGGGCCACTGCTTCACCCCCACCCTGCCCTCCGACAACAGCAGTAGGAAAGCGGCGGCTGCGACAACGTACCAGGTAGCCAAAGGTTTATTTTATAATCTTACCTAAGTGAAAGTCACAGTTAAACTTGAGTCTGTACAGGCAGGAGCCCCTTCGTGCAGGGTGGTGCCTGCTGCCCGTAGCAGGGCAGGCGCAGAGCTGGTCTGGGGGTGCAACACCCCCCAGGCATGGCCAGGGCTGCCTTTGCTGACTGGGCTGTGCAGGCAGTCATGAGCTCACCACCTCTCTCGTCAGCTCTTGCCTTGGTTCCAGGTTTATTCTCTCAAATGCAGCTCTTCAGCGCCGCTTCTGCATCACCTTTCGCAGAGAGGCAGCACGTGCTGAAGGCGCTTTGCGGTAACAAAGAGGCCGTGGGAGTTAACGCAGGAAAAGTTCTTCTGGCACAGGTAGGAGACGAACAGCCAGTTGTTCCTTTAGCTCTCTTGCTTCCTTAGCCTGGTGAGCATCAGGTAAGGGGATGCTCCAAAATATCGCGGGGGACTGCAGGAGTGAAGCACAAGGCGGCAGAGCTCACTCAGACGCCCTCACCTGCCCAAGCCAGGCTTAAACCCACCACGACCACGCGTGAAACAAGTCAGAGGTCTATAACTATGGCCCTGCATGGGGAGGAGCTGACTTCAAATGCCTGTTCTGCTAACTGAGGGCAGAAACTTGCACCCGGATCTACTACAGCAAAGGACTGTATCCCCCAGGAAAGGCTCCCGTTTAATCTTGAAAGGATGTACCAGCTCCTGCAGACGCCCTCGGCTGATACGCTGAGCACACCCCACCTGAGCTGGATGCCTGTGTGGGAGTCAGGACTCAGGGCACAGCCATCAGCTACTACGTTTGAAGCAGAGCTTGTGTTTTTCCTCTCCTTTGGGGAGAAGATCACCTCTGCAGGATGAGGTTGGGTTGCTCCCAGCAAGGCCTGACTCAGCCCTGTGGGGACATGGCGTGCAAGAACCACGGGCCCAGCCATTCCGGTGCCCCACGCTACCCCACGAGGGACTTACTCTGTCCAGACAGCTTTTGAAACTTTAGCCTTGGACTGGCCAGACCAGAACTCCACTCTGTCTTTCAGTTCTTTGTTCTGCAAGGTAAAAAATAAACCAACCCCCTCTCAGTGTAAGGTAGCAGACAAGAGACAAGCCTGGGTGCCAGCTAGGCCCTGCCACTCCTCCAGAAAGGTGGCTGGGGGGACTTTTTGTGGCTTTTTTTAAAGCCCATGAAAGATGCAGTGCAAAGAAATACCACCCGGGCAGTGTCATACACAAGCCCAGCAGTGTGAAGGGCCCCCTGACTGTAGAGAACTACTTTTGCTCTCTCCCTTCAATATGCTCATGGCAGGAGGGTTGGAATCAGATGATCTTTAGGGTCCCTTTCAACCCAAACTGGTCTGTGATTCTGTATCTTTTTACTTTCCAACTTACCTGTGCTTCCAGTGCAGTCAGCTTCTCTGTCAGGTTTTCTATTTTTTTATCTTGCCTTCTGAGTTCATTGTTCAGTTCCTCTGCCTGAGAGTTAGGAAATAAAGTTTGTAAGAGATTTGAAACCTTAATACATCAAAAACCTCTCTATGTTGAACAAAACCACAGAGTTAAATGCCTCACCAACACCAGGGCAATCGCAGATGGTTCAGTTCCCTGGTCTCTTACTGTGGAAAAACTCAAACTGATTGATGGACTGATTTATAAAATGATTTCTCAACACAGGGTGTTGCATTTTCCTTAGGATAACAAGTCTACCTCTTGTTGGCATATCTACAGAAACCTGATTGCAAAAGCTAATTAGCATTGGGTCTTGCCTTAGCTGGATGGGAAAAGGCAAGCCAGTGTTCTGCGAGGCAAGGGGAGTACAGTGGGAGCTCATACGTACAACGTACAAAAGCAGTCGAGTAAAAAAAAAAAGTAAAACAGCTCATGTTGTTATAGTGGCTTGAATTTTGTTGCAGCCTTTCTAGGACGTCAGCCTGTTGGCTTTGCTCGTGGGAGCAGCTTCACAGACTTCCCATGAAACCAGCTGCAGGGTGTACACCCAGGCAGAGCACCCCTGGGTCAGCCAGGTTCCCCCCCTGGAAGCAGGGCACGGAGAGGGGAGCCAGGTCCCTCCCAGGAATACTTTAGAACTTGGGGCTCTGCCTGAAATAATCCCATTTTTAGGAATGCCATTTCCATCCTAACGATGAAATGCGTGTGGCTGTCTGAACACGGGAGCACGCTGCTCATCCCCAGCACACACGCTCAAGGCAAGAGCCCGCATCCCAGTGTCTCCCATTTCTTTTCCCCGGCCGCTGAAGACCTGACCTCCTTTATCACGCCACGCAGGCCGTGGTGCTGCACCCGGATCACGTGCTGCAGGTGGCAGATCTGCTCCTGCAGGGTGGAAATCTGCCTCTGGAGATCCAGGCACCTGCGGGCGAGAGCAGAAGCACCTCAGGTTCAATCCCCAGGGATCACTGCTCCCACCTCAGGGACACCTCAAGAGCTTGTTGCTAGCAAGGATGTTCCTGAGGATGCATGGCTGCAGGCTTCTTTACTGAGCAGCACAAACACAACCACAGTTTGAGACGCATTTTGCCTGGTAGGACCACCCTTACTAGCTGTCGATAAGTAAATTCATAAATAATAGAGGCTATTCCCTTACCTACCGCACGCACGTCACCAAAGCAGCATTGACTCCACGTGAGAATCGGGAAAGGGAAGCCATTTGTGCGAGGTGGAAGGAAACTGAGTAGGAATTTGAGTAGAATCAACATCTAAGAGCTGTAGGACATCAACACCTCTCTTAGCTTCTTCAAGCAGTCGTGGTAAATCAGGTTTCGAACCAATTGCTTTCATCAGGAATAATTTTACAACCAGGAGGAACCCGGAGAAGTGACTGTCTAGTACTCTACATGAAATAGTCCCCCAGAAAGAAAGAAAAACACTTGATCACATGCGTTTAATCACCGTTTGCTGTCTTCATTCCTTGACATCATCTGTTGAAGCATCTTTTCAAGCATCATTTTCTTCTCTAACAGAGTTTTCTTTTCCTAAGGAAACAATTCAAGTTACATGAAAACTATATTGCATTTCCTGTCGTTTGATTAGCAAGAGAAGTTTGGCTGTGCCTTCAACGGTTCCGCCTGGCATCTGAAAACAGGCAGAATTCACCAATAACCACCTCCATCAGCCTACATCAACATCAGTTGGAGATACAAACTAGTCTGACCTCTCTGAATCACATCCGAATGGGATGGCTGTACCCATTTACCGTGAGAAAAGTCCAAACTCTCTTAAAATAGCAGTTCTCTACCTAATTAGCAAAATCCTTGGGTCTTGCAAGAGTCCATGCTCATGGACTGTGTTACTGTGACGTCCACCCCTCAAAACCTTGTCCCCAGAGGGGAAAAGGGGAACGAAACTGGTGACAAAACTCTTCAATATCAGAAGGATCACCTGTATGTGATGGGGGTTGAAATACATTTATTGATCCCATCTTTACAGTAACCCCAGGACAGGAAAAACTTAGTTTTAGGATGGCCCTTCTGTAGGAGTAATTCCCACCGCTACCGAGTGCGTACACCAGAAAAAACATGCACAGTGCCACCTTCCAACGCAACTACCACCACCAAAGGAAACGCACAGCACGGGAGAAGACATTCTCTGCCAGTTTCTGCGCGCGCGGTCGCCGGATTGCTACAGCAGTGGTTTGCCTGCCCAGGATTTCGGGTGCTTGCTGTGGTGTTTTGGTGTTTAGGGTAGGTTTTAGCGCTAGGGTGGCTACGTTTTCATTTCAAATGCTCGAAGTATGCCGATGGGGGACGGTGGTAGAGCAACTATTCAAGAGTAGAAATCATTAATACCTGCAACTTAAGACTTCTCCCTGGTGCTCTACAGTTTTTAAGTACTGACGTAACTGAAAGAGGGAGCTCAAATTGCACGTTTTATTGATAGTTGCAGCTAAAAGTTCTCAATTTGGTGTCACATGGCAGGAGCCTTTTTAGTCCCAATTCCAACAGCTACCATGCCCCAAACCCTGAGAGCAATTAACTCCTCTTTCCAAGCACCAGCACTCCCAGTGCCAGGGCGGACACGCGGAGCGGGCGGACATACCTCCTCCATCCTCTGCACGCGCTTCTCCATCTCTGCGATGCGGGAACGTTTTTCCCTGATGCCCTCAGCAAGTCGGCTGGCGTTTTCTGAGCTTTGCTGGAGCTTTTCTTCTTGTTGGAGATTGTAGGCCTGGGGCCAAGAAGGGCATTAATGGAGGTGTGCAGGGAGCTGGTGACCGCAGCTGAGAGACAGAGATGGGGCTCGAGGAATTTTGAGCCAACTCTACCGACCCAATTCCAAGAATCAGGAATAAAACCAAAAAATTTTTTCTTTTTTTATTTTCCTATTTAACTTCCCCACTGCACTACCAGAAGAGTCTCAGTAGCTCCTAGGTTGAAGTCAGCAGCACAGAGAGCCAGAGCCCACCTAAATACTGTGACAGCGAACAGGACGGTCATGCCGACACGCGGGGGAAATTTGTACCTGTATTTGCTGTTTCTCGTTCTCGTGGCTTTTTTTCAGTTCTTCTGACTGAGTCTGGTAATTCTTGTACAGTTTCTGGGAGGCAGATCTGAGAGCCTGTACACCTGCTTCTCTCGTGGCTTCCAGCTGGAAAGAGCAACCATACAATACATACATGTTGTGCTTTAAAAGTGACGTTAGAATCACAGACTGGAAAACAAGCGCTCTATACAAGATCAAATTTCAGTATTTACCCTTATTAAAAAAAAAAAAGGAATCCTAACCACCTGTGGGCAATACCCGACAGGCATTTTAGTTTCGCAGTAAATGCAGATTTGTCCAGTATTGAGCCATCCCCCCATGACAAAGGACGGTGTCTTAAAAGGGGAGACGCGCTTCCAACTGCTTGTAAATACATCTGCTGTCAACTACCCACAGAGCTGACTGTGCCGCCTCGCTAGCCACAAGACGTGTCCCCAGGAGCAGATTTTGATATTAATTTCATTTGCCTGCTGGGATGAAAGTTTGCAGCAGCCGGGAAAGCGAAGCAGAATCTGCCCCTTCCCCAAGGGAAAGGCTCCAGCGCGGGATTTCCAAGTAGGCACCAGGCTGCACCAGCAGGAACCCAACTCGTAACTGGGCTGCAAGGCACACATATCCATCTAAAACCTTAAAAACCCAACCCAAACGCACCTTGATCTTCAGCATTTGGTTCTCCCTGCTCACCAGCAGCAGCTGCTCTTCTGTTTCCTTCATCTTCGTCGCGACAGGATTGCAGCTGCAGCTCCAGCCGCTGCTCTTTGACTTCGCTTTATTGCCCGGGACTGGAGGAAGCTGCTAAAGGAAATGCACGTGGGAATTATTTTTAAAATAAGAGAAAAACCAGCTTGAGCAATTAATCCGACTCTAAAAGACCTGGCTTGTTATAAACGCCCCTCTCCGTCTCACGCAGGGAGCGTGAGGCAGACGACAGGCATCTCTCCGGGGAATTGGGTCCGAGCTGCTCCCGAGGCAGCAGCCAGCACACCTCCTCCACCTCCACAGATTAACTGAAATGAAAACGTTCTGCTTGTTCAGCTCTCCGGGGTTTAGGTTGGAAAGCGTTTGCACGTCGATCCTGATCAATAACTCTCTTCCACGCTCTCCTGTGTTATTCCGCAGGTACAAGATTAATTAGCTTTTGGAATATTGCAGCGGATGTGGCATTGTAGGTGAGGCTGCATAAATGCACGTGAGTAATTCTTCTCCAACACATTAAAAGAGCTGCTTCTCACTCCAGCATATTTTAACTATCCAGACACCAGGTTTCCAAACCTGTTTGCTTCCTAGGGGCTGCCTCTTTGCTCAAAACCACTTGCTTAAGGTAGTTTTAACTTGCTTAAAGCACAGCGGTTCACGAATGTGTGCTCAGTGCTTGCCTTCTGTCTGTTTTTAGAGCTAGTACGGGCAAGAACGCAACCTGCAGTCAGTCAGATTTGTGCCAGGACACGCTGGCATTTATACGGCCTTTCTTATGTTGTGCCAAGTTCATTTGTTAAAAATAAACTACTACAAACAAAGGGCAGTCTGGGGTTTTTAAAGGGTTCAAACCATACATCAGTTTCTTTTCATTACAGAGGCTTTTCTTCTACTTCATTCCTCAACTGAACAGAGATGGGAGTAAGCATTCTTTAAAAAAAGAACTGTTTGTGATCGATTATTTCTTAATTAGCCGTGTTTCAGCCCACTGATCCTCCTCTCGCTATTCCACAGCGCTCTCCTGGGATGCAGAAAACTGCTTTTGCATATTACCATCCCCGTGCTCTGCCACTTAGAGCAAAGAAATAAGATACCAGATCTACTAGGCTGAGTCTCAGTGCTCACAAGGTATCTTCTTCTTCAAAAAAAGCATGTCCTACCTATTCATGGTGGCGTCAGCATCAAGCAGGGCACCGCTTCCCAGCCCCTTCGTGACTTGGTGTCACCGGCACAGAATATGTATTTTTCTCAGTCGTTGCCTCACGTAAGTTAATGTTAGGAGATGCTTAAGAACCCCTCACAAAATTTTCAAAGTTACAGCATTTGTTCTGCAACTTCATAAAGGTAATGATGAAGGGAATGAAGAAATCTAATTTAACTTAAATCAAAAGTTTGAGGTCTTCGCTACTGTCATTACACACGTGAAAGGCGTTCACTGAACTCCGTTCTTCCTGCATTTCCTCTGGCATTCAGGAAAGGAGCAACTCAAGCCTATTTCACACACCTCAAAACCGCTGTACGCTGTGCTCTCCAAGGCTGTGCTCTCGGTTTTGCTGACTGACACCTCCAGGATCTGCCTGTCCCACAGGTCATCCTCCACCTCCTGAGATACTGGTCTTCCAGGTATCCCAGACCAATACTTCTGCTTCAGATAAGGCTGCTCACTGCTCCAGCCCTTCCTCATCTCTTCCAGGGACCAAACGCAGCTCAGCATTGATGCTGTATAGCAAACGCCTTCAAACAAAAACTTGCAGGTGTACTAGTACGTACCACCAGCGCGATGTTCAAACCATCTCGCAGGTTGAACAGCAGCCCTAGATAACATGTGTTTTTTTAAATGCATCATATCTCACATTATTTTTATTGTTTCTAAAGCGTAATGCATCCATCCTGTGCTTTCTAACTGCTTAGTCACTGTCTTTGTACGCAGAGCAAGGAAGAAAACTCCAACCACGCTGGAACCAGATGATCTCTCAGGTCCCTTCCAACCCAAACCATTCTGTGATTCGATGATTCATGCTCTTCTCCATCTTCCCCTCTCAGTCACCCTACCAGACACCCTTCCACTTCAGCTGCGAAGCCGAGACGTCTCGCTGAGGACATGCCGATCTCCACCGTGGCTCACAGCCATTCCCTGGACACGTGCCGCCCACCAAATAGCCCCGACCGCCGCTGGAGACCGGTGACTTTGGGTGGGGACACGCACTTCCGTGTCTGTTGCCGCAGTCCTAAATGAGGGGCCGAAAAACCTCACCCGTTTCAAAGCGGTTTGACCCAACCCAAGGCGGCGTACGCTGCGATTGAGTCACCACTGCGGAGTAAACGGCGTTTCTAGCATCGGTGTGTAAACCGAAAGGTTTCCCAGGTGCTTATGGCCACGCAGGTCAGGGTTTTCTCTTTCGGTGGCTACTAGTGTTGCTCACCATGGTT